TGACTTTCAGTTCCAGTAGTTGTTTTTCCAGCTTTGTCAGGTCAGGCAATAAGCTCCCCACCTGTCTAGCTCTGACCTAGCCACAGTCATCCATGCAACAGTCACCTCCGGAATAGACTACTGTTACTTGCTCTATGTGGGCCTACCCTTGAGACTGACCTGGAAGCTACAACTGATCCGGGACCTGTTGCACGGCACACATTTAACCTGTACTGCGCAAGCTGCACTGGCTTCTGGTGGAGCAGCAAATCAGGGTCAGGGGTTTGGTTCTGTGGAGTCTTGTGAGCAAAAATTCTATTTAGTGAGCTCCTGGCATTAAAGTTGTGAGCGAGCGACTTGGCTGCTGCATAAATTAGTTTGCTCTGGGGCCCTCCTTCCTGAGCGAAGACAAAAATGTCTGAGCCAGAGGCTAAAAAACTGTGCGCTCGCTTGCACTAACTCAGCTTAGAGGGAACACTGCTCTGGAGCCCTCCTTCCTGAGCGAAGACAAAAATGTCTGAGCCAGAGGCTAAAAAACTGTGCGCTCGCTTGCACTAACTCAGCTTAGAGGGAACACTGCCTACCTGGTGGAACTCTTTGCCAGCTGAGGGGTGACATGATCGAGGTTTATAAGATCATGCGTGGGATAGAGCAGGTCGAGAAAGAAGTCCTTTTCTCCCTTTCTCACAATACAAGAACTCGTGGGCATTCCATGAAATTGCTGAGTGGTCGGGTTACAACAGATAAAAGGAAGTCCTTCTTCACCCAAAGAGTGATTAACACTTGGAATTCACTGCCACAGGAAGTGGTGGCGGCTACAAGCATGGACGGCTTCAAGAGGGAATTAGATAAGCATATGGAGCAGAGGTCCATCAGTGGCTATTAGCCACAAGGTATAGATAGGGACTCTCAGTCTGGGGCAAGGGATGCTCTGTCTTCTTGGTGCTTGGGGGGGGGGCAACAGTGGGAGGGCTTCTAATGTCCTGGCCCCACTGCTGGACCTCCTGATGGCACTGGTATTTCTGGCCCCTGTGTGACACAGAGTGTTGGACTGGATGGGCCATTGGCCTGATCCAACATGGGCTTCTCTTCTGTTCTTATCCGTGCCCTGTGGGATCTGCTACCTTTCTGCAGGGCATGTAAGACAGAGATGTTCCGCCAGGCGTTTGGTTGAGGGTAGTGAGCTATAACCTAGTCAGCCACTCCCCCCCCCATCTCCTCCAGCCTCCCTCGTCTATGAGGCCGCGGCATCTCCTGTAAACGTTTGCCATCAAATAGATTGGACTGTGCTAAATGTTTTCTTAGGTATTTTTATATTTTAATTCTGGAAAATCTTCAGCTGTGGTTTCATGGATTGTATTGGAACTTTATCGCACTGTACGCCGCCCTGCCTCTCAGGGGAGGACAGCCTAAAAGTCTAATTTAACAATAACAACAACAAATAAAACTCAAGGGCAAGGCCTCAAAGCCCCCCTCCCAAGTCCATGGAAAGTCAAGTCGACTACCTCACAGGGTGTCTGCTGTGGGGAGGGGAAGGGAAAGGAGTTTGTCAGCCGCTCTGAGACTCCTTCGGGTAGTGAAGGGTGGGGTATAAATCCAATCTCCTCCTGCTGGTGTTGTGGTTAAGTGCGCGGACTCTAATCTGGGAGGACAGGGTTTGATTCCCCACTCCTCCACTTGCAGCTGCTAGATAACCTTGGGCTAGCCATAGTTCTGATAAGAGCTGTTCTTGAAAAAGAGCCGTTTCTGTCAGAGCTCTCTCAGCCCCACCTACCTCACAGGCAGTGTTCCCTCTAAGCTGAGTGTGAGCTAGCTCACAGTTTTTTAGCCTCCGGCTCACACATTTTTGTCTTAGCTCAGGAAGGGAGGGCTCCACAGCAAAGTAACTTATGCAGTAGCTAAATCATCTGCTCACAACTTTAATGCCAGTCGCTCATAAAGGAGAATTTTTGCTCAAAGGACTCCATAGCTTAGAGGGAACATTGCTCACAGGGTGTCTGTTGTGGGGAGGGGGAAGGGAAAGGAGTTTGTAAGCCGCTCTGAGACTCCAGGTGAAGGGTGGGGTATAAATACAATCCTCTCTTCTTCCCTGGTAGTTTTGTTCACAAAAGCCTTTGCCGAGCCCGCCCTTTGAGAGCCAGGGGGAAAGCTCTTGCCCGCTACCCCCAAGCCTCTCCAAAAACAGCCGGGAGGCCTGTCCCCCCCCCTCCAAACACAATGGGGAGCGCAGGGAGGGGGAGCCAGCGGCTGTTGTCTTATCTTATCCGAGGTTCCTTCCTCCCTGAACACGGAGCAGGCTCTCTCGGCGCCCAGGGCTGACTCAACTCTTCCTTATCCTGTTTGGAACAGGATATTCCCCTCTCCAGCCCCACGGCACAGAGCTGGGTTTCCTTTGCACCTCAAACACCTGCAAACACAGCAAGCGCCGTGGTGGTGGGGCACAGGTAAAGCCCGCGGATTTACTTTGATGAAGGTAAAATGCTTTATGGGCATTCTCACAATTCAAGAACTCGTGGGCACTCCATGAAATTGCTGAGCCGTTGGGTTAGAACGGATAAAAGGAAGTCCTTCTTCACCCAAAGAGTGACTAACACATGGAATTCACTGCCACAGGTGAGGAAGGTGGGGCTGAGAGAGCTCTGACAGACACTGCTCTTTTTCCAGGACAGCTCTTGTCAGAACGATGGCTTGCCCAAGGTCACTCCAGCAGCTGCAAGTGGAGGAGTGGTGAATCAAACCCGGTTCTCCCAGATTAGAGTCCGCACACTTTTTTTTTTGTCTTTTAATTTTTTAAAAATTATTATTATTTCCAAAGCATGTTAATCCATACTATCGCCAATAACAGAGATACACCTTCATGAAAATGCCACTCAATAGCAATTATAAACTAAGTCCGCACACTTAACCACTACATCAGACTGGCTCAAGAGGGAATTGGATAAACATATGGAGCAGAGGTCCATCAGTGGCTATTAGCCACAAGGTATGGATAGGAACTCTCAGTCTGGGGCAAGGGATGCTCTGTCTTCTTGGTGCTTGGGGGGCAGGCAACAGTGGGAGGGCTTCTAGAGTCCTGGCCCCACTGGTGGACCTCCTGATGGCCCTTGTGTGACCCAGAGTGTTGGACTAGATGGGCCATTGGCCTGATCCAACATGGGCTTCCCTTACGTTCTTATTCTTCTCGGACCTGGGAGTGGTGGAAAATGCCATCAAGTCACAGCAAATTGATGGCCGCCCCATAGGGCTTTCAAGGCAGGAGATGTTCATGGGTGGTTTTGATGCTGTCACCTGTCTCTGGCACAGAGGCCCAGGACGTCCTGGGAAGTCTCCCATCTAAATGCTAACCAGGACCGACCCTGCTTAGCTTCCCAGATCTGATGAGCTCGGCTAGCCAGGGCTATCCAAGTCTCATGAGGGAGACGGGGCCGACAGCCTGAGACATTATAACTTCCAGTAGAGATCTTTCACATCACCCACTGCCTGGTCCTTTCAACTGGAGATGCCGGGGATTGAACCTGGGGCCTTCTGCGTGGCAAGCAGAGGCTCTACGGGTGAGCCACAGCCCCTCCCTGAAGGAAGCCTTGAGTCAGACCCTTGGTGCATCAAGGTCAGTATTGCCTGCTCAAACTGGCAGCCGCTCTCCAGGGTCTCAGGCAGAGGTCTCCCCCATCGCCTCCTGCCTGGTCCTTTCAACTGGAGATGCCGGGGATTGAACCTGGGGCCTTCTGCAGGCCAAGCAGAGGCTCTGCCCCTGAGCCCGGAGATGCGTGCAGGCTCCGGCAGCCAGCTTCTCTCTTGCATCGGCTGCCGGGTTGAAGGAAGGAAAAAGAAGTCCTGGGAAAGGGGTCCCCTGGCTTCTCTCCCCAGGTCTTGGAGGTGGGCGGGGGGTGGAGGTGTGCATGTGGGAAGGTGACCCTCAGGTCAGTCTCCAATTTGCCCACCCAGCTGGCAGGCCCAGGGGAAACCTGACCTGTTCCCGGCAGGGTCCCGTCAGGCCAGAGAGCAGGCCGCCTGCCAAGAGTCCTGGAAACCACAGATGTTTGGGAGCTGACAGACCCACCCCAAATTCTAGGGCTTGTCAGACTTCTCTTCTGATCCGTGACACGCGAGGCCTTTTCGTGCCCCTTCCCTAACCAAAAGCTCGGGCGACAACGTGCCACCAAGGAGAATGTGGCAAGCAAATGGGGGCGGGGTATGAATCAAACCTCCCCCCGCTGCTTGCAACAAAGCCACAGTCGGTACACAAGGCGTACTGGTCAGAGTGTCAGGCGATGATCTGGGAGACCCGGGTTCGAATCCCAACTCTGCTGTGGAAGCCGGCTGGGTGACCTCGGGCCAGTCACACACTCTCAGCCTGACCTACCTCGCAGGGTGGTTGTGAGGATAAACTGGGAACAGAGGAGAAAGATGCAAGCCTCTTTGAAACCAAGCTAGGGAGGAGAAAAAATGGTATAAATGAGACAAATCGATAAAGCCAAAAAAGATATATTGAAGGTAACTATCTGAATAAATTTCTGGGGCATAATTCTGCCCTCAGTGATGACTGAGCCAAGCAGAAACTTTTAGAGGTATATGTATAATATCACAGGCACTGAAGGCAAGCACAGAAAAGGGCGGATGCCTACAGGACCGGTGGGTCCCCACCCCACCCCGACGCAGTAGAAAACCGCTCCTCATCTTGGGCACTGGTCTGGAGGTGAAGTCCTGATTCATCCTATCCGTGGGGCCGCTTATCAGCCTCCATTTCCTATCCTTGCCTCATCTCGGAACAGCAGGTACGTATCATGTTACAGGTGAACTCCTTGCTAGGGCAGAAAGCTCTCCCCCCCCCATTCCAGTCCCCCACTTCATTTAAATCTGTCCCAGCTGCTCAGCTTCTAGCATGGATAAGTCGTCAGACTTTCCACATAACAACAATCCCCCCCCCCCCCCCCCCCCCCGCCCAGGCGCGCAAGAACACGCGACAACACA